CTATATGATAATGTTAACGATCAACAATAGGAAGCTTTTTCACAGAAAACTAACAATCTTTTAGAATCGTGTTATCTCAAACAAATGACCTTAGCCCATTTATCATCAAACCACAACTTGAACTTTTATTGGAACCATTTTCAACAATGCATCATTAAAGCTGCGGAATTGACTATTTCCCACAGAAAATCTTCTGATCATATTAAAGACTTTAGACCTTCAATACTTAAAAAAAAGTATCGTTAACTATTTGAGCTTCAGAAACTGGAACGTATTTCTAAGTAAAGTATCAAAACTGGCAAAATCAAAGATTCATGGATCAACATATACAATACAATTAGTAAATTTGCACCCTTGTTTGATATTCACTTTGGCTTGATTAATATTATTTCTATTACGATAATTTGTTAAATTTACCTAAAATTAGCTCTCTCTTGGGTTTAGTATCAACATCCTTAAAACTTAAAGAAGACATAAGACAAAGATAATAAAACAAGCTCTTGAACAAAGATATGAAAACTTCCAAACTGACTAATCAAAGATGATAGACTCTATTTTGAATCTTAAATGTCAAACAATCATTCTTGATTGTTGTCTTGATAATTCACAAGCCAATCTTGGATTGCTCATCTTAGTAGAGAATGTCAAAAGAGAAATAGCACAGCATTTTCAATATGCTGTGGGACTACAAAATGCACCCTCTGAAATCCTGGACGAATGAAAACCCTTTTATGACCCTCTTGATTATATTGATCCATCTATTTATCATGATCTTATGGACACTCTGTCTGAGGAGAAATGAACTCAGATTATTAAAACACTTTCAAATAATAAGGCTAGTGACCCTTTAAAGATTTCTAACGAACTTTAAAACATCTTGGTCCCCTTACAAACAAAGCCTTTTGGACTTTCATATGTGACTGTCTAAATTTATCCCTCACACCAGATGCTTGGAATTATGCCTATGTATATCTTATTGCTAAACCAAAACCGTGGAAAATTAACTTGAACAATACGAGACTGATCACTTTATTCAAATGCCCTAGAAAAGCTTTGGTTAAACTCATTAATAAAAGGCTATTATTGATTCTTTCAACTCATAATGTTTTAAAAGGAAACAATTTTGCAGGTCTCCCTTTTCGTTCCACTTTTGAATCCATTCATATTTTAGATAATCTCATATATGACCACCATTATCAATATCAAGAACAACTGTGGTTCCTCTTCCAGAATATGTCAAAAGCATATGACAGAATTAATATGACCATACTCCAAAAAGCTCTTCTGCGTCTTAAACTACCTTCCTTTTTCTACCACTTTATTCGTGACTTGTTCTCATCACGATTCAACCAGGTCTTCATAGCTCATGAAAACGCAGACAACTATCAAGTGATTTCTGATATAGATCAAGGGAAAATAATTTCTCCGATCCTTTGGTATATATACTATGATCCCTTGCTCTCACGAATTTAACAATCCACTTTAGGTTATACTTTGAAAACTAATAGGTTCACTAATATCACAGAAGCTACTCCACCTATTTTGGATGCTCATGTTTCCTGTTTGGCCTATATGGATGATACTCTATGGCTGAGTAAATCCAAACACGACCTCAATAATATTATTTTGATCGCATATAACTTCTATATTTTGAATGACATAAAAGTTAATTGTGACAAGTCTTTACTTCTAACTTTACTTCCAACACAAAATAGAGTTAACTTTGCGTTTACCAATAATAATATCTGGTTACAACTAAGTGATCCTAAAATTCCTGTTCGTTACTTAGGAATTTGGATCTCAATTTCTCAAAACAAGAAATTCATATATCGACAAGTGCAAGACGAAGTTTTTGGCTCCGCCAATATTATGAAAAGAAAAAGATTAACTGATAAACAACTCACATCTATTTTTAACGTGTTCATTATTCCAAGAGTCCTGTATAAAATACAAACCACTTATTTGATGACTAATTTCTGATAAATTATTATGGGAACTTTCTGTAAAACCTTCAAAGCTGCCTTACATCTATCAATTAGTACTCCAAATGTAATCATACATTCTTCGAAAATTTATAATTTAGCATACTTATACGATCAGCAGATGCAAACCAAGATTTTCAATTTACAAAAGATGGTCAATGATCCTGGTCTATTTGATATTACATCGAAAGTTTGTATTGTACAACTTCAAATTAAGGAATGGCTCTCATCATCACCTTTTAATTCTTAGCCTTTCTTTACGCCCGTTCCTTTTAAGAACTGGTAGTCCTCGACATTAACGATGATAAAACTTCTAAACCTTTGCTTTGCTATTCACAATTTAAATGTCAACATTATAAAAGGTAGTTCAAAACCTATCTTAGACCTGATTAATTCACAGGATTATCGAAAATTTTCAAATCATCTTCACAGAATGAAACTTATGTTCCTTTCACAAATTATCATTTCAAATGGAAGGTTTTTACTTCTGTTTTGTAACCTCTCTTATAATATAAGAACCTTTAAATTCAGAAAACGACCTAAATGGTTTGACCTTATTGAAGCAACTATTCTTGCTGAACCTCAAAAACGTACTATACACCCTTCACTCCAAATGGAACACCATTGTTATGTCGAACAAGTTACTCTTTCAGCAAATAATAAATGAGTTACTTATGTTACACTATGGTCTCCTCAATTAAATAACTCGACTATTGGAAAGATTCTTCTCATAGAGTAGGATACCACACATATTCAGCATTATACTATAACGATTTATAAACAGTTTTGCATCATCTTAGATCCTTGTTTTGGATATTCTCTCAATGACCATTTGACACAGTCACAAAGAAAAATGTTGTAGAAATGATCTTTATGTTACTTTAAAAATCTGATACATCTGTATTCAGAAATTTCCATAAAAGCTGAAAACTATATCAGAGGTCTTTGTCCTTTATCTCCTCTAATGTTACATGAACTTACTCTAAACTTATTTAATCTAACTAATAACTTTTTTACTCTTTCATATAATATACAAAGTTCTCAAACTAGTTATATTTTTGACAATGATTTAATGACTCAACTTGTCAACTTTTATAATGCAACCTTTCTATTTTTCTACACAGATGACTCTCTAAGAGATTTTGGTCTCTCATTTCTTCAGATGGGTTTAGCCTGGTTGCAAACAGATTCACTATGGCCTACAATTTCCTTTCACTTTTTCTTTTATATACATAATCTGTTCTCTACTTTAGCTGAATTACTATCAATTGTTACCACAACATTCGTTACTTCTTCATACTCAACCGTCCACCTCTTCACTGATTTCCTTTTGATTATAAATATCTTTCATAAATTTCGTTTCCTTTTAGCCACTTTTTCCTCATACAACCTCATATATAAAATCCATTATTATCCTATTTGGCTTTATTTTTTCGATTTATTACATTCCAAAAACATTACCATAATTATAACCAAAGTAAAAGCTCACTCAGATAATCCCTTTAATGATACAGTAGACCGATTGGCAAAATCTGATAGACTAAATTTGTCCTATAATTTTAGTGCATTCAATACCACTACAATCCCATATTTCAATAATATGCCTGTTCTTCTACTTACGCGACAATTTATCAAAAGTCTTTTACAATCGAAACGCTTTAATGACGTTTTGCTTTTATCTCACTTCACCAAATACAACTCTTTAAAGGTCAACTGGAATGTTACTTTCAACTTTTGCATGATAACAAAGCTAAATCCGCTACATCCTTTCAAGCATCATTCACAAAGAAACAAAAAATCAAGTTCATGTTAGAAATGCTTCTGTCCTTAGAGGTTCTCAAAAAAAGAAGTCCACAATTATACAAACAAAACTGGACATGTTGTAGATGTCAGTTAGATTTCGAAGATTTTAATCACATTTGGACCTGCACACACTCAATAGAAACTTTGATAAATATTATTCAATCCACAAAATATGAAATATATCACTACTTATCTCTTCTTAACCTCGGTTTACTCGATTCGCAAAGTACAGTCTATTAAATAATGACAGCGTCCTTTTGGAATCCTGACTATAATCCAACTGATTTCTGTTTTATTGACCTTATAAAAGGCGTTGTACCTCAGACTTATTTGAATTGTCTCACAACATTACCAATAATACCTTCATCACTATGTTCCTACTTTCGCATATATACCACCACATATTTACTTTGGTTTCGAAAATATGGACCGATAGATGTGAAATATTTGCTAATGCAGAAAAAGTGGCTAACATTACACTACTAGACAAAAAAAATAAAAACAAATGGATCACCAGTGGCTTTTCTCACTTCCCTCCTGCTTCTTTACTTGTTCCTCCATCTTTTATCGCTTCCTTTAGGTTTGGTAACAACTGGTCAAATTTTTGGTACAGGTAGCAACCACGCTCTCTCATCTGGATGGTTAAGTTTCCTTTTCTTATGATTGGGTTATTAGTCTAGAACGGTGCAGGGTTGACTTTGATTTATTTTAACTAGTTTAGAATATTTAGAAGTTTTTGTATTTTCTTTTCTTGTCTTGTATTTTATTTATATCTTACTTACATTTAAATAAAGATCATGCGAAGCTACCGCACTTAAAAAAAAAAAAAAAAAAAAAAAAAGATTTATATACGAAAAGATTTATCTCGAAGTATCAAAATTTTATTATGTAATATAACTTGCTTTTATAATCCAAATATATTTCTCGGGCTGAAATTGCCATTAACTCATTCACGATTTTTCCGCCGTTTCCCCCTATTATCCTAAACCCGGGGTCTAGGATAAGAGTGCTCTAAAAAGAAAATTTTCAGGATTATCAACAAGATAATGATAAGTAACTAATAAACGCGTCAAAAGCTAATTAAAATTGATTCTTGTATGAGGAAAATGGTTGGTTTCGCGACGTTCTTCAAACATATTGTAAACTTTTTAGATACTGTTTATGATGACAAAAATTCTACTTAGATAATATATCCATTATTTCTCTTCTTGAAAAATGTTTACAAAAGTTATTTCACACTGTCCTCTCAAGCTTCTCTTTATGCGAAACTTGTCAAATTTTATTCAATCTTCAACTTCGTCCCAGAGGGGTATTGCAAGATTTTCTCAGGATTTGTCCTGTCAGAATTCGTTTTCTCTTTCAAAATCAAATTTTTGGTGTCGGAAAATATTTTCTGCGGCACAACCAACGAGTTCTGAGAGTGCTACCCTTGTAGACGATATTGAGCCTTCAAAAGCTGGAAAATTCAGTCTTTCAAAACTGTTTCTTTCTAAATATAAAGACGTCATACCACCATTTGGCTTTAATGGTCTTGGAGAAATAGTATATCGACGAACCTATTCGAGATTAAAAGAAGACGGTGAAAAAGAACTATGGTAATATTTATTCATTTATTTTAATTTTTATTTGAGTCTCAAAGAATTAACGTTTGATTGATTTAGGTGGGAAACTATAGAACGCGTGGTCAATGGTACTTTCAATATTCAAAAACGTTGGATCGAACAAAATGGTCTAACTTGGGATTCAAAAAAGGTTCAAATTGTTTTATAAAAAAAATTTATTCATTGTTCATTTATTAAGTTCAATCATTTAAATATTGATGTAAATTGTATATAATTTTAGGCTCAAGGATCCGCTCAATCCATGTATGATAAAATCTTTAATATGAAATTTTTACCACCCGGAAGAGGTTAAGTTTAAAATATTGTAACATCTTACGGTAATGGTCAATATCAAAATTAACATGATATTTCACCTCAGGTCTTTGGGCAATGGGCAGTCCTCTTACTGAAGAGCGCCATCTTTTTTCTGCTTTGAATAATTGTGCTTTCGTGAGCACCGAAAAGATGTTTGATGGTAGTTCTTCTATTAGCACTCCATTTACATTCCTATTAGATGCTAGCATGTTGGGGTAAATTTTCCATATGTTTATACTGGTTATTCGCAAATAAAAAAATATATAATATCTTTACATATTTTTCTTTTCTCCTCCTCCCATAATATGAATGTAGTGTTGGGGTTGGATTTGATACTAAAGGCGCGAATTCGGCTGGATCTAAATTCCATGTTATCTTAGGTCCAAACACATCGCGGCCACATACTACATATTTTATTGAGGACTCAAGAGAAGGTATTTGTAATTATCCGAATTATATAACAATGACAATAATTCTTATTTAATCTTGCATTAAGGTTGGGTAAAATCTGTCGGAATGTTGATCGATTCTTATTTTTATGAAAATGCTGGCCCGTACAAATTTAATTATAGTCAGATTCGTCCACCTGGCTTATCCATAAAGGTTTTATGATAAAATCAAGCATGTTATAATCGTCCATGAGTCTAATCAGGTTTAATGATTTTCAGGGATTTGGAGGTATAACATCAGGTGCAGAACCTCTTATACAGCTCCATACACAAATTTCTCGATTGTTGAGCGAAAATATCGGAAAACCTTTGAACGTTACAATCATTGTGGACATAATGAATCTAATTGGGAAATGTGTTGTCACTGGAAATGTTTGTAAAAATATATATATATATTGGCTAGAAATGTAATCTTAGTAACATTTATCACCGAATGACCAGGTTCGAAGAGTAGCGGAGATAGCATTTGGTGATCCAAGTGATAATGAATACATAAATCTCAAAAATTATGATATTAATCCACACCGAAGCGAATATGGCTGGACATCAAATAATTCTGTGAGTATGATACCCTTCAAAATACAAAGCTAATTTTATACTTGAAATTAAAATCATATGAAATATTTAGGTTTTTTCCCCTTTAGGTTTTGATTATACAACGATATGTGAGCAAGTTAGAAAAAATGGAGAACCAGGTTTTGCCTGGTTGGATAATGCTAGAGCTTATAGTAGAATGTGTGATCCTCCGGTAAACATCATTTATCATTTTTTTATTATATGTTTTGATTTTCTGTTGGATTTATTTATAATTAAAAATATATAGGATCATAAAGACATTTATGCCCAAGGTGGGAATCCATGTTTGGAGCAAACTCTGGAGTCATATGAATTATGTTGTCTGGTGGAAACGTTTCCGACAAATCACACGTCATTGGACGATTTCTTGGATACGTTATATAGCGCATTCTTATACGCAAAAACTGTAACTCTTGAAAGAACCCATTGGTCACAGAGTAATGCGATCATGTTAAGAAACCGACGAATTGGATGTGGATTGAGTGGCATTGCACAATTTATCAGTCAACGAGGTACATGCTTATTTGAATTTTATTTTAAGATCATTGGTTAAAAAAGATTCTCGTTTGTAGGATTGGCGGAATTGAAAACCTGGTGCGAAGAGGGTTACAAGCATATTCAGAATGTTGATAAAGAGTAAGGAATGTTATTTAGATTATTACGAATACTTTATGAAATCTATTAACGTTATGGGTTTCTAGGATTTCTAAATGGTTTTGTATACCCAAATCTATCAAAACCACAACAATTAAGCCGAGTGGGACCGTTTCATTACTAGCTGGAGGTATTATAATTATATGATTTTAAAAATCTTATTAGTTTTTGAATTTACTTTTTTTTTTTTTTTTAAAAAAAAAAGCGACGCCTGGAATGCATTACCCTGAATCAAGATATTGTATTCGACGCGTACGACTTTCTAAACACTCAGAATTAATTGACCCACTTAAAAAGATTGGGTTCAAAATTGAACAAGATGTTGTGGAATCAAGTTCATTAGTGGTCGAAATACCTATTGATCATGGGGAAGGTATTAGAAGTTTGAAAGAGTTATCCATGTGGGAACAATTGAGTTTGGCAGCATTCTTGCAAAAATATTGGTCTGATAATCAGGTCAGTTGTACTGTAACTTTTGACCCCGAGACGGAAGGACCTCAGCTTAAATATGCACTTGATTATTTTCAATATCAACTAAAAGGTATTATAAAATTAACAAAGACCGCTGAGAACATTTGTTCTTTGATCATATATTTACACCATGGCTAACCATATTTGTTCCTTCTCTATGTAAATTTTGATACTCTAAAAGGTATATCATTTCTTCCACGCATGCCTTTGGGTGCTTATGCTCAAATGCCAATAGAAGCTATTAGTTCTGAACAATACGAGAACATAATATCTTCTGTTCTACCACAATCAACATCAACCTCTACTATTACTGGCGCTAAACAAAAAAATTTAAAAGTTGATTTCCAAAATATTCAGTCTAAGGTTAAGTCTGATCCAGAAATAGAGCGGTATTGTGATACAAATACGTGTTCTTGATCCGGTTGCATTGAGTGAGTTTGGTAAGCAATTTAATTCTCTGTAATATTTTTCTTACCAGAAAAAAAAAAATTAAAAAGTAAACGTTTATTAATAGAATTGAAACCACCGGTTGATAAACCTTAAAATAAATTTAATAAATTATGAAATTATGATTAATTTGTTATAGTTTCTATACAAAAAATAATTGTTTACAATTATTTGTTCTTTTTGTTTTTAAAAGATTTGTATGAATCTTGTCGTAAAATTCTTCTCTGGATCAAAAATTTTAATTTCCAATAGCTTGGTCCTTTGCCTTTTGTATATATCCTATCACGACTTTTTGGATCTAACCCACGCCTTTTTATGTCCTCATACAATTGTTTAAGTTCTTCTTCGAGTTTAGCTCGTTTAATCAATTTTTCAAAATGGTAATATACTAGTCTATCTATGTTCAGATTCATCTTTTTCATCATTTCATATAACCTTTTACCATCTTCAAATCTTTTTGTCATAACGAAACTTTGAATCAATGCGGTAAATGGTACATGGTTAAGTGACACATTATCCCTGACCATCTGTTGAAAAATTTGTATTGCCATTTGAGGTTTCTTTGCTTTTACCAAAGACGTAATCAAAGCCGAGTAAACATACGAATTGGGTTTGTGACCCTTTGCCAAAAGTTCTTTAAAGACCTTGATAGCCATTGAATGCTTTGAAGAAACTGTTGCAAGGGAAATGATTGAAGTATAAATGTATAAATCTGGTTCGACGCCAACAGAAATCATTTGCTTATACAATCGTATCGCATGATCTGTATTTTCTGATAAAGTTTTATGACGGATTATAGAATTCAAGACAAATTTTGTTATCGGAGTATACTTTTTCATTTCACTGAGAAATTTAGATGCCTTTGAAAAATCGTGCCTTCTGCACATTGCATCAATTAAGATTTCGTACGTATAATGATTTGTTTTCACCCTATCTCCCAACATCTGCAGATATAAATCCTCAATTCCTGAGGTGTCAATCAAATTGTCTCGACTATAAGCATACATGAGATGATTGTAAATCTCCGTGGTTGGTGTAATTCCGGACGCCTTCATTTTTTCAAAAATTTTCCTTGCGTTCTCGGAATCAGATTCAATCGCTCGCATGTAGATTAGAGAAGCATATAAATAACTATCATGTTTTATACCTTGTTCAAGGATTTTTTCGTAAAATTCGTAAGCACCGCGAACATCCCCATTTAAAAGGAATGCAAAGATCACCGTTGTGTACAGTTCTCTGTCTGGTTGGATACCAAGTCCAAGTAACCTCTCAAAAAGTTTTTTGACCTTGTCGATCTCACCCTTTTTGCCATATCCGGAAATTAGAGAAGTGAATAAAAAGATGTCTGGAGTATCCAAATATTGTTCAAATTCTTCCAATAGCTCTTCCGCTGTTTCCAATTTCCCTTGCTTGCATAATTCGTGAATCAATGCGCTATATAATCCCTTTCTAGGCACTTGACCGAATAAAGCTATTTGCCTGAGAATGTACAAGGCTTCTTTCAAATCCCCTCTTTCGCAATATATATTCACTAAAATACGGTATGCATCAATCCTCCCATAAAAAGCATTCTTCTCGGCTATCGCATCAAGAATCTCAGGCAGCGAATCATTATGATCGTTTAGTTCTACCATTTTATGTAATACTCTCTTATATACATTGTATGGTATCCGGTTCTTTAGATTAAAAGAATGAACATCCCTCATAATCCGAATGAGCCATTCAAATCTCTTCTCGTTCGTACAATGACAAATGATATGAAGAAACAATGTCAAATGATGGCTCTTGATATAATTCAATAACCCATTTTTTAAAACTTCTGTGTAAATCTCGTAAGCCCTTAAAGGGTTGTCTCTAAACTTGTATAAATGTTCGGTAAGAATATTATAACTTAGAGAATCTTTTCTGTGCTTTATTTTCACCCTCTCATTAAACGAAAAAAGCTTTGCCTCCCCAAGGATCCTTCCTTCTAAAGGGGGTTTTTCTGACAAAATTGACTTGCCATTTTCCTCTTCAAGGTGGGGAACTACCTCCGAAACCTTTGCTTCATACGGATCATCCTTTTTGTAGCTCGAATTCGTAAAATTGGTGTGAAAATATGTCGAATTAGAATTCAATACAGTAAATTTTGAGAATTGCCTTTGAGAGGTTATTATAAAATTCATTGAGGCAACTTGATGCTTTCTTTTGCAATGTCCAATTCGAAGAAAAACGCGCGTGATACAACACCTATACGAAGCATTTGCGTCTAATGCGTCTAACGCGTCTAATGCATTCGTACGGGTGTTACCGCATTGGAGGGTTTTAAATGCGAAGACGGCAAAGCTATTTTCACGGATTTGCTTTATGGTTCTCGCATTTGAAGTGAATAGTCTGTATAAGCAAAACAATAAATTTTTATTATAAAGTGAAGAGTGAAAGTGAATACCGGTAATCAAAGTTTTGTGGAAAGAGTAGCGAGCTTTCCGTAGAGGCATATAAAGAATTGTAATTTTCCAGTAATATAATTATCCGTATCGATGAAGGCACGGAGCGTGAAAACAAAACAGTACACTTCTAAAATTTTTTGTATGTCGTCAAAAAAAAAAAAATGAGTAACAATTGAAGATAATGAAGGAGATAAAAGAAATGTATAGATACATATTACAATATTATGAACGATAGAAATTCAAAGCAATCATCCCTACGACATTTTCTCTGAGGAAGAAAATGTATATTAAATATATAGAGATTATCAAAAAAAAGAATGTCACGTGAGAGAAATTTAAAAAAATTAGATTAAATCGTTATTTGTGGCGCATCGAAATTTTTGGTTAAAATGAAAATTATTTGTCTTTTTATATATGTAGGAGATTATCAAAAGTCATTATATCATTATGTCACGTGTAAGGAATTTAAATTGCGATTTATTTTTTAAAAAATAAATTTATATATTTTATTTGTTTTTACCCCCAAAAAATAACGATTAATGTTACAATAATATTATTTTAGACATTGTTATCTGGGTTTGGCTAGTCCAAACGATCAATAGGAAATTACGTCTCCCTGAATTTTCTAGATATAAAAATTCTGTCAGGAAGAAAAGAATAATTTTTCTAATTTAAACTTAGGTATCTCCACGAATTTTATTGTAACAATAACGAAACCTGTATGATAAACGTACAAAACGCCGACTTTTAGGCGTAGTAGTACATTATCTGTCAAAACCTAAAACCAAACGGTTAAGAAACATATACCTATATAGTTTTTTTTTAATAAAAAATTAGTCAAATAATTAAATATAGATAATCAATGAATAATTAAAAATCAAAAAGATTTAGTTAGCGTTAGTAGATTTACTGTGCCACCAAAAAAAAATGGGATCGATTAATCGTGACGTATACCAAGAAAAAGCACAAAACAAGGTATTACAATAACTGCAATAAAAAAAATTCACTATAAAAAAGCCAAATAAATATTATAAAGGTATTGTAATATACTGTAGGTTCTATAGCCTTTTACAAATTTTTTTACAACCGTAATTTTAAAAATGTCAGCCACTCATGAGGCCCCACCACCAATTCCTCCAAAACCAAGTAGTCAAGGAAGACCTCAAAATGCCAATGACATTGATCATTTATTAAATTTGATTGACGAAGAGTTAACAATTTCACAGGAGACTTATAATCCTTCTCACGTAAACAATCATGGTTGGAACCAGACAGCTCCTTTAAATGTAATAAGTTCACCTTCAATCGAACCGATAAATTTAAACCATCGTTCAAGTAGGCTTAGCACAGAAATATCCTCTTCAAGCGTAGCAAATCTTGCTCGGCGCACTTCTGGAACTTCTACAGCGTCAAATCGTTCACAACAAAATGCAGCTTCATATAATGTTCATCGTCCATATCAACAGCAATACAGCTCACAACCACCTTATTGTCCCTCGCAGCAACAGTCTTATAATACTAGTTCAATGCCACAAGTTCAACAACCTTATGGTAGTGCGCCATTTTATTCAAATTATAATTATTATTCAAGCTTTCCTCGTGACCTTACCTCTCAGGGTTGGCCCACTTCAACTACGCAGCAGCAATATCCAAGCCCTCCTGCGAGACCGTTGCCGAACCCTCCAATGTCAAACCCACCTTATCATTCTCCCTTACCATATGCTAATCACCAATATAATAATAATTATGGAGGAAGTTACGCAACTTCTTCAATTCCTGGAACAACTTCTATTGTAATGCCTGATTTTCATTCATATGCATCAGTAACTCCTCCTCTCTCATATCATAGCGAGCAGCAAAATCAGACGCAAAGAAGTGTCCAATCCATACCGGTTAGTTACATTATTTGATCTTTTTTTATTTTAAATTTCAAAACGTTCTAATTAATAATTAAAAATGTATTCAGTCATTATCTAATGATCCTTACGATGCTTATCCGGTTGAGTCAGAATATGGGTCAGTTTTTAACTCCTATAACATTTTGTAAATAAATCAAAACTATAATAATCAAAATCTTTAATTTGATTTCCAGTCAATTAATGCCATTCCCTTCCGCTTCTGGGACCCCTTTATCTTATTCTTCATATCAATCTCAAGTAAAAAATCGGTATTCGTTACGTAGTTCAAATTCAAATTCTAGTACAGCACCAGCAAAAAAATCATATGCAAATGGTATCAATGGTTTAATGAATCCAGCATTACTATCCAATATAGCATTAGCTTTTCGTGCTACTGTAAACCTGGGTACCCATGTAAAAGGTGCTTTGGAGTACCCAGAAAGTTTTACTGGTATAGATGCTGTGGTAATTATCTTCTCAATTATTTTTAATGGATCAATATTTTTCAAAAAAATTTCAATATATAATTCCTTTACATAATGTACATTAGAACACCATTTATTCCCTCTTACCATGTGATATTCCACGTCGCGTGGCTTTATCTATGGCCCGTTCATTAGAAGCACAACTTTACTTCCACTCGATCAATTGGGCAACAATTTCTGTTATAAATGACAATAAAGATGAGGTTTATGCATTCCTTAACCCTGACCCTGGATCACCAACTCTATGGGAATGGGATGAAGATTTTCCCACCGGTGTATTTCCCGCCGTTTCAAAGTGCTATAGTCCACGCTGTGGTATTGATGGTAAAGGATGTTATTCCAGGACTTGTTCGAACTATGTTCCTGGCGTGGTAATTATAAACCTATTTGATCAACTTTTTTTTTATGGTTCATAATAACGATTCATCTTTTTAGAAATTGACATTATTCGTTATTCTAAAGTCATCTATTTTCACATATATATCTTTTTTATCGCAAAACTTCAGAATGAGATTAAACCTGATCCTTCGCTTATTCCCAGCACACCGGTTGATCTAGTTGCAGGTCCCACTGAGTCACAGGTAAATGAATTTAATTTATATCAAAATGGTTTTTACTCATAAATGATTATGAATTGCTGGTTTAAAATATTCCTATGATTTTATTTTTGGTTACTTAAGGTTCAAGCGGCACCACAGGAGCAACGTACTTGGATAAGCTTGGTTCCGAAAGACATATTGGATAGCGTTTCCAAAGATGAGAAGAAACGTCAAGAAATTATATTCGAAACTATATACACGGAAGATGATTATGTAAAAGATTTAGATCTTTTAGAAACGGTAAACATTCTACAACACGCAATTAATAATTTGACCTTAATAAACCATTTCAAATGACTAAATTTTTTTTTTACACATATAGCTATATGTTAATGGGCTTCGTTCATCCTCGCCTCCTATAATTCCACCACCAGAGCTTGATCATTTCATTCAAGAAGTTTTTTTTAACGTTTTCGAAATCAGAAAACACAACAAAGTCATGCTAGATCGCTTGCAAAAACTGCAGAAAGAAAATTACGTAGTAAACAATATCGGTGATATATTTTTAGAGTGTGCACTTGAGTTTGGAAATGATTACGTAATATATAATGGGCATTTTCCTCTTTCTGATAATATCATAAAAATCGAGAAAGCGAGAAACCCAGAATTTAAACGTTTTTTGGAGGTAAGCAATAGTATCTCTTTTTTTTTTAAAAAAAAAAAATTATCATTTATTAGTTCTTTAAATTAAATTTTTTTTGTTGTAATTTATATTTTACCGAGATTACTAATTTAACAATTTTAATCATAGCAATGTACAAGAAAACCGGAAGCACGTAAACTTGATTTCCGTCACTTTGTTCAAAGACCGACACAACGTTTACAACGGTACACATTGTTACTTGAACAGATTATTAAATACACGGCAGATGATAATCATGATAAAGAAGTTTTGGAAAATGCTTTGCAAAAAATTCGAGAATTATGTAGGGAAAGTGATAATAGAGTTCACGAAGCTGAAAAACGATTGAGAATAGTAGAACTGGAACGGAAACTAGTGAAAAAGAACAGCGATCCATTTGTACGTGTTTTCGTTCCTATCTTTAATACCTTTATATTTTAACGTAATATTAAATTTGCATAATTTCATTTTTATTTAAAGCCTGAGCTTAAGCTTTCGGATTCAAACCGACAATTAATATTTAAGGGGGAATTACAAAAGAAGGCAGACTTGGGTCTCGAATGGCTGGACCTTTATGTTTTTCTTTTTGATCATTATTTGGTGATGACAAAACCAAAGAAAGGTGCTGATGGAGAAGTCAGATATATAGTCTCTAAAAAAGTATATTATATCCAATAATTTATTACTATTATTATTATTATTATTTTATTGACAAAGACTTAATTTAAAATAATATATATATTTATTTTTTTATTAAAAGCCAATCCCTTTAGATATGCTTATTGTAGATTCGGGCTCGGATAATATTCAACCCAATAAATCCACATTTTTCCCTAACCTTGGTAGCGCGCTTGAAAGTCGAAAAAGAACAAATAGTATGGGCCAAAATTCATCCGCCGCGCCTCTCGTTGCTGTTACCGATCTTGAAGCACCCGAAAATCTTTTAAGTCGACCGAGCTTACACTCTTTCACAATTCTTCATATCGGTCGTAACGGAGGAACCTACCAGTTATTTGCAGATTCTGCTAATACTCGTAGAATGTGGAAAGAAAAAATTGCAGAGGCACAAACCAAGCTTCAATTAAATAGGGCAAGTCAACAAGTCTTTGAATTATTTACATTAAACGATGCAACTTTCGGAACAGCTTCAATTGCTACGCCTGGAGGATCACATTCAACGAATGCATCAAAGGTCAAAGTAACCTGCTCCGTACCTTTTGGTAAGTTAATTTTTCAATTTATCTTATTATTTCTAAAGTTTATATATAATGAACTAGGAATGGTTTGATAAAATTATAGTTACCCCCGAAAAGCGTAACATGGTTGCTATTGGAACGGAAGATGGTGTATGGATGGGTTTTGGAGGAGAAACTAAAACATTTCGTCCAGTTTTGACTGGCATAGGTAATGTGATGCAAATGGCAGTGCTTGAAGAGTTCGGAATTTTTGTTGTATTAGTTGGTGAGTTTAGAAAAATTACAAGATTAGTTTCAACTATTCAATTAAAACGATAATTAAGGATTACCTCTTTATATAGACAAAGCGCTATGGGCTTATTCATTAGAGTCGTTGATTCCATCATCCACAAGCAACAATACATCTGGCAGAACTCAGACTCGTCAAAGATTAGCTAGCAGTAACATTCAGTATTTCAATGTCGGCACTATCAGGGATCGTACTTTCCTTGTTTTCATGAAAAAGAAAGGACTAGAAAGTCATTTCAAGGTTTTAGAACCCATTGGAACTACCGGCCAACGTAAGGGCATGTTTCAGATGCGGAATGATTGGTTCAAAGAATATAAGGTATTGCTTTATTTGTTTTATTTTAATTTGAATGATGAGAGGTTTGATTTACTTAAATCCATAGTTGAAAATATTAATTTTTTTTTTTTTTATTAGCAATTTTATGTTCCATCAGAATCTTATTCAGTAAATTTCTTGAGGTCAAAGTTATGTGTCACTTGTACTCGCGGTTTTGAAATCGTTAATTTAGACACACTTCAAAATGCAACAATACCAGACCTTTCTCATCCACAATTCTCAACTATCGCACGAAGATGTGAAAATTCCAAACCACTGGGGATGTTTAGATTAGATGAAAATGACTCTAATGAATTCCTGTTGTGTTATGACGGTAAGCTAGTTCTGGCAGTCAAACAATTTGTAATTAAATAGATCTAATTTATTTCTTATTATATCTTAGAAATATTCTTTTATGTTGATAAGCATGGCGAATTATCACGGACTATGGTAGTGCCATGGGAAGGCAAGCCCGAAGCAGTTGGTGGGTGTTGATTAGAATTGTTTTATTAAATTTGATTTTTTTTAACATATTCTATTTTTTCTCCTCAACAGCGTTACAATTGCCATATGTCATCGGCTTTAATCCTTTATTCATTGAAATTCGGGACGTGCATAGTGTAAGTTAAATCTTTCCTTTATATTATCTACTAATTGCGCGTTCTTATATTTGTAATATCTTATTAATATTGGGACCTTCATTTGTAATTTATATCATTTAGGGAGAATTACGCCAAGTCATTCCGGGCAAAAGTCTGCGATGCTTGAATGATAATTCTTCGGGTAGAAATGCAATTCATGCAGTGATGCAACATCCTTTTAACGACACACAATACGTCTTTCAATTAGTATTGGCTGATATAAGAAGAAGCGACAGTATGAGAGGAACGCATCGCTGAACGAAATTTTCATTGGTATTCATTCATCTTAATCCAGATTCCGTCTTTTTGTATTTATCATATTTGATATTCATATTTAACTTGTATTATAGAAATTTTCATTAACATTTACAGTTGTATTACTCTCATTATTATAATTATAGTAAATTTATTTGAAATTTAATATATTTTTTCTTGGTATTTCATTTACCCGACATTATATTTATTATATTTATATTACATATATTATATATAGCAATAAAAAAATAAATCATTTGTGATCAACTTGCTTTAGTTGAAGTATATAAATATAATCGTCAATCTTTGAATATCACAAATATTATCATCCATTTGATTAGGAGCATATCCTAATAGATATTAAATTATTTAATAATTGTTAATTTTTTTCGTTCACTTTATATATATAAATCGATTTTTTTTTTTTTTTTTTTTTGAGCTCAGTAAAGAAAGGTAATCAAAAAATGATAAAAAATAAAAATAAAAATAAAAATAATAATAATAATAATAATAATAATAATAAACTAAAATAATATATCACAAATAATGCACAAATTTTCTATCTTGAAAATTGGAAAAAAAAAATACAAGAGAAAGATTACAAAAAAGAATGAATAAAAAAGTTCTAAGCTCTTTAAAATCCCACCAAAATAAATATACCCACCACGCCCCGAAAAACAAAAAATTTTTAATATAAACAATATCATTAAATATTAAACTGATATATCATGAAAATATAACACACGTCGTCCGCAACTTTAATCCTTAACTTCATATCAACTACTATTAACAGGCCTTGAATTAGAATCATCATATGCTAAAATACTTGTGGCTATGCTTGTTGCCGCAGAAATTAAAGAACTTTTTCTACCATCAACGAGCTTCAATGAAAAAACCTCGGAACTATCTGTTGTCTGATCTGTCGTAACAACTAAAATATTACCACGTGAATCAGAATATAAACAACGCATATTATGTCCTTCAATAATCTGTTCAAGAAGACCAGTTTCAACATGGCGAATTTCGATAAAAGATGGTTCAAAGGCAAGCACATAAGGATAACGAAGAGCTATAATAAGAAAATTATATATAAAAAATAAAATATTAGAGAAAGGAAAAAAAGAAAAAAACCAATATACAAAAATAATTATAACCCACCAAAAGAAGTCGGGGATCCTTCCCACGTTATTAACCAATCTGGTCGTGAACGCCATCCAACCTTATTAACATAGAAGGCAAATTCTATTGAAAATTGAAAAGAAAAATAATTAAAATGTCTGCATTTAAAGGGAAACAATTAAAATTTTAAATCAAAAATTTTGCTTTAACTTCAATTACCATCATAGCATAATAAAAAGTCTCGTCCCGCAATTCGATAAATGGCAATTGGTTTAACATTTTCTTTCTTTTGCACAAAATCAAGTGAAACATCTTCCGGATCAATTAAACTTTGTGTAATAAGTGTTTCTAGATCAACCACCTCAAATCCTTTTGCACAACATCCCACGCATAATTTTTTGTTAAGGAAATTTACAGATGTTAATTCCGTTGGAATGTAAAATTCCTGAAAAGATCAAGATTAAATATATAAATTAAGTATAAACTTCGAAGTTTCAACAATTCAACTCATCCAAATCCTCTTAATCCGATAACGTTACCTTATATGTTTTTAATGAGTCGTTACTTCTTCCACTCAAAATCTTCAGTGGGCTTTTATTTTTATTCTTTTGCTCAATAGGCTCTAGTGTCTTAATAATTGAATTTAAAGCACTAGTTTTTACAACAGTAACCAAGGTTTTCCCAAGGCAAGTTCCAGACTTAAAAAAACTAGCATGTGAGCTGATTTTACTTGTCCTTTTCGTTGCTTCTTTTGACTTAATGGGATCGAGTGATTCAAGCGGATACGAATAAAGACTTTTATCTATGAATGTAATAATTTATGAGGAATGATTTATATTTTAAAACTGCTTATATTTTTTATACCAAAGTAGTTGACAATATACCTGCTAATATTAACAATAAACGGAACTCTTCAAGAATATCAATCTGAGATATTTTTTCTAATTGAATTACGCAAACTGCAGGTTTTGCGTTTGGGCCGATTTCTAACACATATATTCCAAGATCTGTTCCAAAAGCTAGTTTGCGGTAATTATCTAAGTACAATAGATTATTATTAATCTAGATTATATAAGAAATAAGTTATGTGTTAATAAATAACTTACCAAAAAAAGCACCACAGTTAACTTTACTTGAACCAAGAAAAGTCTTTTTTTCTAATAAAATTTCTTTTTCAAAAATTTTACCCCCGTCTTTAATTATTTCTCTCTGCCTTTCAATATGCTCAATCCATTTTTTACGACTGATATATGTAGGAGCATATAACGTTATAGTAAACGCCTTCTTTCCTAGTCGGCAAAATGTAAGTGCAAATTGTCTGTCATTACCGCGCACTACTGCTGGAGTTTTTCCGGGTAGAATAGATTGAGGTCGTCTTGAATGTACACGATTTTCATATGATCCTTCCGTTGCAAATACACTCAGAAATTCGAGAGGTATTGGCTATGTACATAAGAAAAAAACGAATATCGTTTAGCAAAGGATGATATTAAAAATTTTAATCATTAATAATATTTGTAATGATATAAATACCTTCCGATGAATTTTATATTGCTCAACTTTATTCATGGTTTTGGCCTTCACCATGAGCAATGCATGATCAAATAAAAACACTTGTAGATCAGACGATTCCCCGCCACCCCCACGTTTCTTTAAAGAACCTTTGAAAATTAGCTGACGCCCTTCCTCTGTCAATTTAAGATCCTGGGAAATATTTAAAAAATTTTTAAAAAAACGTTATAAATAATAGAAATGAGTTTGCGTCTTCATTAATATGAAATTACCATATGTTCGATTCCTTTTGGAATTAATTGATCATTTAGTTGCTGTAAATGAAAACGATTCTCAGATTTTCCCGATTCAACATTAACATTTGTAAGAAATTCCTTAATTATATTAATCACTTTTGGCAAATTAATACGATCAGGATGATCTTTTGGAGTTTGTTTAAGAACAGCATCTAAAAGTAATGGATAGCGACCAAGACGTGTTGTAGGCTTGGTTAAATATCCATTAAGTTCAAGCTTTCTAGATTCAGGACGTCGCTCAGTTTCCTATAACAAAGTTTATGTGTAAATTCGTTAAAATATTTTCATAAGCTATTAGGATATAATTACATAAAACTTTAAAATATAATGTTACCTCAACAAATTTTGCGAAATCACGGTTGGTATTTTTTTCTTTTTCAAATTCATACTTGCCCCATAATTGATGGGCACCGTACCTAATAAACGGATCAAATAACGGAACATATTCTAAAAATATATCTCCAATTTGCTCCACAATGGCAAAAGAATTTTGTCGCTTTTCTAACGCGTCGGCCAATTTGACATTAACACAATGAACTTCCAATATGTTGTAAAAAACTTCTTCAACAAATTTTTCTCTACGAGATTCTGATACAACATTTTGTTTTATGAGAGGATCTATCCAACACTATTATATTGCACAATAATTAATTACAGTGCGACAAAAAAAAATATATAAATGTATGAACTTACATCTCTCAGATATTCCAAGTCACCAACAAAATCTTTTTCCGTATATATTACTTCATTTATGGCTTCTTGTCGCTTTTTCTCCGTCTCCGATACTGATTTAGCAATTTCGGCCGGTACCGAATGAATCCATAACTTCTGATCCTAAATCATAATTATTCTTAGTAAAGAAAAGGTTCATCTAAAAAAAAATTATTAAATCAAATACCTTTTTATCAGAGATAGATCCACGACTAACTGATCTTTTTAATCCTGGATTTGGCTTCATATTTTTCCTAGCGTGCTTTTTAAGAATATTTTAGAATATAAGTCAATCAACAAGCATGTATTAAACAAATATATATATATATAAATTTACGTGAAAATACATACTTGTTCCAATCTCCGAGGACAAGCAATGCTATAACATAAGTTATATTGAGAACATGTAGGTGAATAGCAATCAGTCAATAAAGTAAATACACCATTTGGTAGATCGTTTTCCGCATCTTCCTCATTGACAATATCTTCAAGCTCATAATTTTCAGATGATAATATCGAGGGCATTTTACGGAATTGATATAGTTCGTTTGGAGAATCACGAAGCCTATGATCATATGTAACATCATGGAAAAATTTTTGAGAATCAAAGGCTCGACCAAGTAAAAGTGCCAAATTTCTATCTGTTGTCTTGATGATAAAAGCAATCTTATCCTTTTAAAGGAATAAAAGGGTATGTTAAACAAATTGTTGACAGTTTAATAAACAATTAAATATAACATCATACCACAGCCTCTCTTCCATCGAAACAATCTTTATACTCAAGGTTGTCTTTCATCCTATTTGATAAAGTAACTCGTACACGAAACGCTTCTGCAACCCGTGAGAGTAAAGCTGGATATACAATTGGTATATATTGCTTTGCTATTGAAGAAGGTGATGATGGACAACTAGATGATTCTGGAACAGCTGATGATGGTGATGCATCAGAATATGAAAACGATCGAAATCTTTCGGTACGTTGGTTTGTCAATAGTGGTTTAGGCCTTTCACGAACACTTTCAGTTGATCGTCTGGGAGAAATTTTCTCATCAGCGTATGATGGTAATGGAATAATGAGATTTGAGACAGTACCTAATTAAAAGGTCATCGATAATATTTGTGAATTTATCTGGAATGTGATAATTATATTAAGCCTCAGAATTGAATAACATATAGTATAAGACTAACAGAATTTCAAAACTAATGATGACGGGAATATTAGACACAATTAACAAAGATATATAAATTTAAATAATATATTGCTCATACCATTCATTGATATTGTCCTTGAATATTGTGTCATATAATGAGGGGGTTGTGGGGATCTACGCCCAGACTTACTAGGTGACCGAGAGGTTAATGATTGTGAACGTCCTTCATAAGTATTAACTGTCTGAACAGCAATCTGCGGAGGTGGTCCTGTATGTGTATATAGCGGATGTTGATGTTCAGAATGATTTTGATGTTGATATGAGTATCCGTTAATTGGATGATGTATGTGCTGCGAATATTGTGACTGTTGTTGTGTATATGAAGTGTTTTGGGGATACTCTAAAGGTTTTGAATAATGAATGTGTTGCTGCGATGAAGCAAAGATTTCTGCCTCTCCTTCAAACGGTATTGTTCCTAATGATGGTGCACTTGCTGCAGCTGGATTGTTATATATGTTCGAACCAGGCTTTTGAAATTGTTTATATGGATGATGTGAAGCTGAATGAGAATAATGCGAAGGGTAGACTGCGTCCATATCATGCATATAATGATAAGAATCTAAATGTGATTCAAGATCGAAACCATTCCCTCCTGGAGAATTCGTTCTTTGATTGGCAGTCACATTTTGTTTTTGATCCCACAGCCGTGCAGTCGCTTCTTTATTAGAGGATCTTGATACTCTTGACTTATCTATAGGAGGTGCCCTATACGCAGCATAACTATCATAGTGCTGTTTAGCACCTTTATACACCCCCTCCTGAATAGATTTTGTTGGATTGCCACTATAAGGACGAGAACCATTTTTATTAGGTTCGTAAGAAACCATATTCTGCATTATGCCTGATATATTATTCTCAGTTGCGATTGCAATGGCCGTGGTAAAGAGCTTAATTATTTAGTTTGATGCTGGCTTCTTTAACGATGAAAGAACTTAAAACTGTTGGTCGATAACAATACCACGTGCTAGCAAATATAATCAAATCCACATCATAAGTCTTAAATAAAATATTATTATTTTTCTTTTAGAATGTTCAACTTGGGTACTCTAAATAATAAATATTCGTTTGGCAAAAAAAACTAAAGTTGTCAAGTATAATGGATAACCCAAAGTTTATTAGTTCTATTAAACTTGTCTGTAACACAGCATCTCAATTTGTAAATTAAGTAAAGTTAACTTTAAAAATGTTTTTGAAAAAATTATACTTCAATAAAAATAATAACTAAAAAAAAATTATATATATATATTTATATATTTAATATTAAACAAATGTAAAATTAATTAATATTTATTTATTATTAAATAATAAATATAATATAAAAAAAAATATATTATTTTAGATTATTTAATAATAGATTTTAACCTAAAATTATATTTAACATATAAAAGTAAAATTGATTTTTTTCAGTAATTTCTTCCAAAGATCCCATATAAAATATTATATATTAAAATATATTTATCAATTTTATTAAAATTTATTATAAATAATTTTTTGAAATTTTTTTTTAAATATTATATTATAATTAATATAATCAAAAATAAATTCTAAAAATTATATTATAGATTAAAGATAAATTTTTTTAATATTAAATTAGTTTACAAATAAAAGGTTTGTTAAAATAGGATTCTGAAAATTTTTATTAAAATTTTAATTTTTATTACATTTAAATTTATGATAATGTTAGATTAAAATGCAATAAAAATTAAAATTTTAATAAAAAAATGCTCAAAATCACATTTTTTTTTTAGCAAATCTCCCATAAATTAAAAAATAAAATTAATATTTCTTAATGAGAAATTTTCTTTAGATTTAAAATTATTTTAAATTATTTTTTAAAATATTTTATTAAAGTATTATTATTTTTATAATAAAAATCAAAAAAAAAAATTGCTATTGATTAATAATTTTTTAAGAATAAATAAGTAATATATTATTATAGAAATATTTTAATTATTTAATCATAATCATAAGAAAAAATTTCTTAATGAAATTCAATATAGATATAACTAAAAATGGCATAATAATTAAGAAGTTACAACTTAATAAGTTGCAACTTCTTGTAAATTATTTTAATATAAAAATTCATAAATAGTTGCAACTAGTTAAAAATTTTAAAAATAATTATGGAAACTAACTTTAGATACAATAATATTTTAATATTAAATAAATATAGGATTTCGAAATTTTTAATATTAATTTAATGCTAAAGTGTAAAAATGCTAAATTAAAATTAAAAAAAATAAATTATTATTTTTAATAAACTTTAATATTAAATTAATTTAAATATTTTTGATAATATTTTATTATTTAGTAACTAGTTAGCATCTATTGTTACGTATTAGACTGAAATTTTAATTTTAATATAACTTAAACAAAAATATCACTTTTGATATAATACACTATTATTTTATGATATTAATAACTAAAAATTAGTATTAATATAAGATTAACAAATGATTTAGCTTTAAGTTTTTATATAATAAAAGTTTATAGAAACTCTAAAGATTTATACAATAAAGTATAATTAGTAAAATAAAGTATAGATATAGGTTAAATGATTAGATTTTATTAAGAAAAATATTTGTTATAATTGTATTTATTGATATACAAGTGTACAGTCAAACCTTGATATAGCGAACTCTTAATATAGCAAATTTTTAAATCAAATATATTAAAATTACCTTTACTATAGTGAACTAGCCAATTAAATTCTTTAAAAAATTCATTATAAGCTTATAACGAAGTTGATATCCAGATCCTAGAATTCGTTATATCAAGAGTTTACTGTATATAGTAATTATCTTATTATCGATAAAACTAAAATAAATTCTCTTTAAAGATTCATTATTATTAGCAAAGTTCTGAAACTATCAGAAATTTGATAATATAAAAATAATAAATATAAAAATAAATAATAAATAAATTTTAGCATATCTGCTATTTCTTGTATATTTGATATATATGATATATTAATATTTAGCAGATTTGTTATATTTCACATATTTGCTAGGATTATCAGATTTGGTAGATTATATGACAAAGTAAAAATCATATGATTTATTATATCAGGTAACCTTTAATTACTTATTAAAATACTACTAATCAGCAATTTCTAATCTATATACAAAGTGAAAAAATTTATTTAAAAAATACTATCTTATATTTTATTACTTAATGATAGCTATACATCACTCTAAAAACTAAAAATGGTAACAGTCAGTTATGATCAGTTAACAATCAGTCAACAGTCAGTCAAAGACCTTTGATTGACCAATTAGTTATATTGACTAGTTGATTAGCCCATATAATAATAATATAATTTAAAATGCTTGATCAATAATTTTATTTAAACTTTAAATAATACTAACATAAGTCATCAGAACATATTTGATATAATTACATCAAATATGTTTCGGTGACTTGAGTTAAGTTATGATGGTGATGACATAATCTAATAGTGATGATAAAATCTAATAGTGGTGATGAAATCTAATAATAGTGACATAATCTAATATTGGTAACATAATCTAATAGTGGTGATGAAATCTAATTGTGGTGACATAATCTAATGTTGGTAACATAATTTAATAGTGGTAATGAAATCTAATAGTGGTAGTATAATCTAATATTATAATCTGATATGGCAACATAATCTACAAGTGGCTTTATAACATATGGTTTGGTTATCTTTACAGCTTTCTAACTACTATTTTAATTAATTCCTGCTATATAGAGTTATGGTAGGTTGGTAATGTCATATTCTATTGGTGTATTATATGATCTAATGGTAGTATTATAATCTGATGGAGTATATTTTCCTGATTATCTACGATCTTTTTTTATCAAAAAACTATCTATGTATTTACATTACTCTGTATTCTTTTTATTCCTAAAGAACTATTCATTTGTTTACTTGCTTCTGAGTCGGATTGGTAACCTGTTAAGATATTGAGAATGCTTCTTTTTTATGCTTGCTTGATTACTTTTTAAAATACTGAAATAGTGTAAAAAAGAGGCAATAGGTGATACAAAGGATTTGTGATTAATTTTGGCCAGCTCTATATTATAATTCTGGTCGATCTTTTGGGCATTTGATTTTAGGTTTCAGCTTGGCAATATAATAGCACTATAATAGTATTATGAAACTGTTATAAAACTATTAAGGAACTGGTAAGATGCCTGAAAGATTCCATTTATTCGCCAGTTTTAATCCACTTATATGCCAGCTTGGATGCCAAGTTATTATGCCTAAAGTTTCAGCTGAAATTATGGAATAGTGTTAGCTGACATTAAGCAAATAAGTTTTATGCAAAGACTATATCATAGCTGAACACATACCTAGAAAGTGAAGTCTTCTCTCATTTTTATATAATATAATTATAAAGAAGGCTTTACTTTTTCAAATATAGCTGGATGCCTTTCTTCTATGATTTGCTTATTAAGTTTATATAAGTCTTCTTCCATTATTTTATATAATATTTCTGAAGAAGACTTATTCTCTAGATGTATACTATTTTGTCTTTCTTTTGCAATTTGCTTAGTGTGTTTACTATCGTCTCTTTTTGCATCCATCGAAAAAATAAATGTACCAATGAAAGTACTAATATTAGGATAGGTTTATACCTGAACATATATAAGTCTTTTGCCATTTTTATGTAATATAATTATGCAGAAGACTTCCTTTTCAGATACATATCTGTTTTCTTTTCATTTCTGATTTACTTAATAGCTTGCTATATGTCTCTTTTTTTGAAGGATAAAAAAAATATTTTAAACATTTCTGATTTTATAGAATTAGTATAACTTTTCAAACTGATAATATGTATATCCCAATTGTTTCTGATCAAACTGATTGTATTAGATCTAACCCAATGCTCGTCTGCTACGACAGCGTCAAGCCTGATGAATACTTAAGTAACTCAGATGGTTATAATGATAATGAATCTGATTTGGGATCAGATGTTTATAATAACTACAAGTCTAATAATGAATCTGATAAAAAAGTAACTCTCTACGCTTCAACCAGTATTACTGAGACTCCATTAGTTCAGCTTTCAAATATACAAGAGCGAAATGTTAATGCAATATATACTTTAAGGAAGGAAAAGTTTAATGATAAATTTTCTCCTAAAGATTTGGTAAGTGTAATTCAGAAAATTTTACATCTTCAGATCCTAGTAAATGCAGTTATTATATTTTATATGTACTGGTTCTACTTATTGATCATTATGAGCTCAAAGCATTCACTGAATTAGTATATACCATAACAGGTGAAAAATATGGTAAATTTATTGATCAGAAATTATCTGGTCAAAATTTTAACCTTCGCCTAATTGGTTCAGCAAAAAAAGGTTGTATAAAGCATATTCTTCAATTTTCTCTAGATAATGAGTGGAATGAGCTTAATCATATTAAAGTTCATCTATCTACTAGTTTATATCTTGAAGTAAGTCTCCGATTACTTAATGTAAAAAAAAATAATAATCCACTAAGAATAATTGTGAGTTAGGATGTATTGCAAAAATACATGAACCTTGTTTTGCAAAAGCATTCTAACTATCTTAGGGATTGGATTATTAAAAATAAGAACTCAGAAAACTTTGTATATTTCAACTAGAAAGGTCCACTAGAATGTACACTATATAAACATATACATAATAAGAATTAGCAATAGTTCGGTCATATATATGCTAGTAATGAAACATTTATTGTAAAATGCTTTCGGCAAGGTAATGATGAATCTGGGAAAATTTTTTGAATATAACCCATCTATTGCAGAAAAAATTAGACAAGAAAATAAAAATTCTTCATAATCATTTCACAATATAAAAACCTTTAATTTTTCTAAAGCCTTCGTAAAATTCACATTTTGGGTTAAGTATAATGATTCTTTTATAGCGACAGAAATATATGAGAAGAGATATGTAAGATAATTACCTAATGAAGATGATATTTATGTGGGATCACCTTGGGAAATGGGAAAAACCTATATTCTTAAAAATTTAGCTATTCCTAATGATGTAAATTTGCTAGTATTATCCACACATTACTCTTACTCAAATGCTATTACTACAAGACTTAATCTTAAGTTATATTATGATATTGATGGTAATATAAATCTATCTGATCACAAGAGAATAGTATGTCAAATAGAGAGTTTACACCAGATTGTTAATAAATGCAATAAAAATGCAAATGTCCTTTAAGTCAATATGATTTATGGTTTGATGAAAAAGTATCTATAATTGCTCAAGCACAAAGTTGCCTAACGGGTCAATCAATAGAAATTATATAAATTAATCTAAGAGGCAAAGCGTATTATTGTTATAGATAATAACATAACTGATTTAAATATCGAATGGATTAAGACCCTTTATAAAGATAAACTATTCTCTATTATCCACAATACTTATCAATCCCAAAAAGGTAAGACATTCTGCTTAGCTTCTAATAAAAAGACTGTATTAATAGAACTTTGGAAATGGGTTAAGCAGATATCTTTATTATCTTTTAAGAATCGAACCAGTATATCACTCATCTGCTATCTCAGAAAGAATGTGCAAGGAATTATTCATGCACTTAAGACTGATTTTTCAGAATTACGGATCAAAGAATATTATGACAAGTCTGATCCAGTAGAAAAGGCTCATGACTTCAGCAATATAAAAGAATCATTGAAAGACGTAGACCTAGTTGCCTATACTAGTACTCTAAAGATAGGAGTATCTTTTACTAATCCTAAGTTTGAACGAACATTCTGCATCTTTAACAGTTATATAAAACAAATCAGATGTTATTCTGCATGCGATGCATCAAAGATTACATATGTCATATTGAACAAAGATCATCTAATGTTTCAATTACAGAGAAAGGATTATTATAATAGTTGTTGAATGGTAAACATGAATGTCTCCCCTGAGAACTTCAAAATAGAGGAATATTTTCAGATATAGACTCTATCATCCGGAATAAAGACTTACCAACTATTCAATTGTGGGTGGCTTATATGTTAGAAAATTTCAATCTTATCATTTATTTGGTTGGAGAATGATTGATTTTCTTCGAAAAGCTGGTATATGTATTTCGATTGTAGAACCTATTTCTAAACCTGAAGATAATATGATATCATTATCTCAAACGGTGAAGGTAAGTTCTTCTATCATTAAAGTAGAGAAGGTATTAGTAATAACTAATACTACTATTGTTAATTATGAGACTGCTAAATTTTTGAAAAATAAGCCGAAGAAGACTTTAGAAGAGATATGCTCTTTAGATCAGTATCATATTGCAGATTGTTATGCAATCCCACCTGAATTATTAACTGAAGAATTTATCTCAAAGTATGGGAATTTCAATCATATGAAATGGTTAAGAGCTTATAGACAATTGCGAGATGCAGGTACTAATAATGAAATAGCTATTAAGGCTATTTCCTGTAAAGATTATAGAGAAAATAGGCTTATAACTGTAACCTGAATTGAGAGATATCGAATTTGCCTAGAATTATTAAAGATTTGCATGCTAGCTAGAGATATCGATGATAGAGCCAGATATAAATCTAATGATATTAAGATGTGTCTGAATCCTTCTGAATCAATATCATATCTTCAGGATTTGGTTCTCAAAATGGCTTAGGTATTTGATAATACTGATGTATCGTATAGAGTTAAAAAATCAGAATTGAAAACAGATTGGGCAAAACTTAGTTTACTGAATTTAGCACTTTATGCAACATATGGGTTAAAATTTAAAGCTATAGATAAGAATCTCAAACATTACTATCTTGTTAGATTATTCGATAATAATGACTCTCCTGAGTTATCCTATACCAAACAAGAAAAGAAATATACTAAGAGAATGGTAAAGATACCTGATATGCTTATAGTAAGCTTATTTTTGATGAATTAGATAATATTTCTAGTTCTAGCATTGTGAATATTATGCATATCACAGAAGATATTCATGTTTTATTTGATATTACATAGGCTGGTTTTATTATAAACCATTCTGGATATATTACTAGACTTCACAAAAATAGATTATACATCTGAAGATAAGTCTTCTGCTTAGAGCTCCGAACAGGTTAGGTCAGGTCAGAATAAAATTGACCTTAATTAAATATATATTTGATCTGACCCAACCTGACCTGACCTGTCTAAAAAAGGAAACTAAACAATTATTTATTTTGTTTAATATTTTTTTAAAAAAAATATTGATACATTTTTACATTTGATTATTTTTCAAAAAAAAAAGATACTAATATAATTATTTTAACTGCAG